AATATAATAAATATAATTCATCTATCTAATATGTCAACTTGATCAATGTTGACAACTTTAGCAACTCTGTCAACTTCATCAACTTCGTCAACTATGTCGATCATTTAGATCACATGACTTTATTTTAGCACAGTCACGGATCACGGCTTCAACACCCGGTTGCATCCGTTTTAAACGCAAACCGGTCTTCGTAACATAAATCCGGATGGTCCGAAAGAGAAAAAAAAAAATTGGGGGAGTTTTTTTGTTTTTGAATACCGAAATAACGAGATCGCAATTTACAAGTTTTTTAATGGGCTTTTTTTTTTAAAAAAAAGAAAACTTGACATGATTACACACCCTACCCTAATAGCGGTCTCATCTAATCAATTTCCAAAGTTTATAAAAAAAAAAAAAAAAACATTACGAAATTATTACCTACATTTAAGGAATTGATGATCATTTTATTGAGGTGGAATCCATTAATACATTTTTTTTTTTTTTTTTGAAACAAACATCCAACCGCGTGAACTGCATAACCAAAATTGAAATCTAAGTTTCATGTAATCGAGGGGGTACAAATTTCTAGACTATTCGATCACGTACGATGTACCCATTTTAGCAAATTAAAATTTTTGAGGAGGCAATTTTTTTTTTGTTTAGCTTACCCCTGCAGAATCCTCATGTGTAAGGGATAATATCTAAACTTCTCTTTAACAGAAAGAGACGATTAGATACTCATTGTTTACGTAAAAAAAAATAAAAAAAAAGTACGTGGGGTATCATCAATTTCTTAGAAAAAAAGTATGTGTTAAATTTTTTAATTATTTACATTTCCTTTTCTTGACACTAAAATAATACAATAAAGAGATAGCAAATTGAAATGTAACGAATACTATGTCAAACATTGTCCGTTTGATTTGTGAAATCCAAAATCGGAACCGTGTAAATAAAATAATAATCTCACTTTTTTTAAACTATTGCCGGAATATAAATTCCGAAAATTTCACAATGAATTTTGGGATTGATAAGCGTCTCGTGATGTATCCCGTGATCAATTACCTGCATTTCAAATAAAGTAAAATAAAATAAAATAATATTTGTACCAAATGAAGCCATTTTATTATCAGTATAATAATAAAAATAACTGATGTGTCTTATTGTAAAAAAAAAAAAAATCATCAGTAATATATAGTATGTATGTAACTAAACTAATTTTTTTTTTTTTATATGTATTAAACAAATAGTTTAAATAGTTGAGGTTACATATACAAAAGGAAAAAGCCTTTAACTTTTTTTTTTTTTTTTTTTTTTCCGATGTGGCACTGCCAGTAACTTTATTAAATTTATATATAAGGAAATACAGAGTAAATCGAAAATAAATCTATGCTAAGTACTAGCTATCCCGTAGTTATATTACAAACCCGTTTGAATCGACCTATCATCGTCTTTTTTTTTTTTTTATATGTATTAAAAAAATGTTTTAAATAGTTGAGGTTACATATACAAAAGGCAAAAGCCTTCTTTTTTTTTTTTTTGAATCGACCTATCATCGTTTTTTTTTTTTTTTTTTTATATATACAAAAGGCAAAAGCCTTAACTTTTTTTTTTTTTTTTTTTTTTATATGTAAAGTATTTAAAACAAAATAGTTTAAAATAGTTGAGGTTACATATACAAAAGGCAAAAGCCTTAACTTTTATTTACCAACTTAAATTAAACTGCACACATAAAAAAAAAAAAAAAAAAAAAACCTATTGTATAAAAACAAAAAAATTTTTTCCTTATAAAAAAGACCCTATCGTGGTGGTCACTTCCAATAACGAAAAAAATATCAAAAAAAATTTTTTTTCTGCTTTCTTTTCAAATCATTTCTCCTCTATCTTCATTTTTATATGTAAAGATTTGTTTGTATACTTTGAGTATATATAATCTTTGAAAGAAACCGCAACTATTTGATTCGATTCTCGTTTGAAGAAAAAATAATATTCGAAAAAGCTTCTTAACAGCTTAATCACATCGACTTAATAAAAAAAATATAAAAAATTTGTATAAGAACCGAGCAAATTTTTGTCGAAGAAAAACAAAAGAGTTTCTTAAAAATCCAAACTTTTTTTTCATTTATTAATTCACGAATACTATTATTCCGTAAATTAAAAATCCTTCACAAATGAGTATCTCAACAAAAAATTATGAAAGATACGAAAATTTTGGAATCCATCCAGAATCAGATAATTTTTGCGGTGCCTATAATGGCTTTTCCGCGAAAAGTGATAAAAATCATCAAGTATCTTATACTAATGCGCCAAGCACAACTAATAATTACAAACATCATTCTACAACCTCTTTTGCAACTGAATCGACATCTTACAATTCACAATCTATCGGTCATAACGCTAATAATGAACAACAGATGATTTTAGAACAAAATCTATCAACATTTGTTCCCCAACTTAATAGACCTCCAATTAAAGCACCTAGCATGACTAATTCTAACTCTCTCCAAATAAAGATTGAAATTCCCGGTTATACAATGATTTTAATTCCCAAATCTTCCCCATTGGCAAGTTTAGCTGGTTTAGACGTGCAACATCAACTTCAACCAAACAATAATTATTCTTCTTATTCGGTTATTCCACCACAATTAAATCAAAGACAGAATCATTCCTTTACAGCAAATGGATATGAATCTACACCTTCTCTATTGAAAAATTTAACCAGTTTAGACGTGCAACATCAACCAGATAATATTCATTTGGATGATTCTCGTTATTCGGTTATTCCACCGCAATTAAATCAAGAACAGAGTCATTCCTTTACAGCAAATGGATACGAATCTACACCTTCTCCATTTAAAAATTTAACCAGTTTAGACGTGCAACATCAACCAGGCAATGTTCGTTTAGATGGTTATTCTTATTCGGTTAATCCACCACAACACTATTTTTCTGGTTAAGGAGAAACTTCTTTTTTTTTGAAAATATTATTAACAATCATAATCACGTTTCAAACAATGTACAACCCAACGTCAACGATAAAACAATTTCCACATGATTTCTAATTTATATAATTAATTTCAACAAAATATTTCTTTTATTTGTATTTGATTTATTATTTGTTATGACAATGTATGATTTATTACCTTATAAATAAACCTCAATTAAGTTTTAAAAAATTATTTTCGGAAATAATAATTATATTTATATTTTATGAACATGAAGATTTTGTTTTTTTTTAAGATTTTCAGACGCACTGAAACTTTGCTATGCTTACATTTTTTAAAAAAAAAAAAAAAAAAAATTGATTTTAGGTAAACAATATATTTTTATAAATAACCAAATATATATAAATTATTTCAATTTAAGTTGAAAATAAACTAATTTAATAACAATTTTTCGTGTCATTTTAATCTTGGTTTGGATATTAAAAACGATTTAAACGAAGACAAAATTTACAATTAAATTAGGTAGGCAACTTTAACGTTTAGAGCGGAAAATCGGGTTAAAAAAAAAGAAAACAACTATTCGTTTAGGATGATTTTTGAAATAAAATATTTAATCTAAATAAAAAAACTTAAAGAACTTAAAAATTCCAACATTCAATTTATTAATTCACAACTTTATTAAGCCCTTTCAATGAACTGAATTTTATAATATACTCGCTAATTAAAATAAAGAATAAAAATAATTAATTATAAATATAAAATGAGAGGTTAAAAAAAAATAAGAATATGGATTTAGGATAACAACAATACTAAGAATATTGATCTGGGTAATAATTTTTCAAATAAATATATAAATACTATAAACATAATTTTTTTTATTTTCTATATAAACGCGTTTTTTACATAAAAATATTGAGACACACTTGTTATCTAAAGTAAATGTCATTCTTAAAGACCAAGTAGATACTTTGTAGCATAATTTTAGAACTTTGATCAAATAAATTGAATAAGTAAAGTTGCTTAACAGATATAAAAATATTTAAATATTAATTTTCATCATGCTTGAATAAGTATTCATAGAGTTAATAAACTTTTTTTTAATGAAATTTTACTATATGTGTATATGATTTTATGTCTTTTATAAAATTTTTTGTGTTTGTTTATTAAAAACAAATAAATTATATACTGTGATATAATTACAATAAATTTTAAAGTTTTTTTTCTTTTTTTATGTGAAATTACATTTAATTTTTTTTTTTTTTTCGTGAATTAAAACTTATTTTGGCTGCGAATTTGAGCCAATCATATTTACAATTATCCTTATTCTGTCTAGAACCTACATAAATAATTTTTTTAAAGTACGTATTACGTGATAGGTACAGTTGCAGTTAACCGTCCTAGCGTCGCCCTGAAAAAATGGTAGCCGGATTTTATTTGCCGGGTCACATATACTTATTAGGGTGACGTTAATTGTGACAATTAGCATTTTTCTCACAAAAAATTTCCAAATCCTTAATAAACTGAAGAACAGTTGGGATGTGACGCGATGTTACAAATTTCCTAACCTCCTTAACTAATCCTAATTCTACTCTAATCCTAAACCCTAACTTTAATACTAACCCTAATAATAAATACCTGGCAAATATAATATGGCTATCATTTTTGACTAAAATTAAGAGCTTAAAATGCAATAAAATCTCAATTTTGTTAAAAAATTCCCGGAACTTGATTTTCCTAGTTAGAAATTCTAAATTAAACTCCTTAAAACCACAAATTAACTTTTAAAGCCACGAATTAACTTTAACACCTCATATATTAATAGAACAGGTCTCTTTTAACGATTTTTGCTTGACTAATTTAGAAAGATTTACAATAAATATCCAATCCATTTCTAAAAATAAAACAAATTTAACAACCTGTTTTGGAGTTCATAAGAAAAATATTTTTTTTATGAACAGTTTTTATTTCCGAAATTTCCGAAAGGTTGTTTTTTTTAAAAAAAAAAAATCAGCTGTGTTCTTAATTAACGTGAAATAATTAATTCCGTAGCACATCATTTATAATCCATTTCGAAATCTTTCGTGTTGGAATAGCTATTCGAGACACACGCTCTACCGGTCAGTGAATGCGGTAAATGTTTTCGATTTAAATGTTGGAATTGTGTGAGGATAGCGTTTTGAGTAATATTGAGATTAAGATTAGGATTTGGAACGAATTAGTAATCTTAATTGAATTAAATATTAGACCATGTGAATCAAAAATACTTAAGGGTTAATTTTATTTTGTTCATCCTAGCTTTAATATTTCTACTAACAAAGCATTGTGCGAGCACATGATCTGATACTATGTCACATGAAGTTGATTTTAAACAAATTCGATTTTTTTTAGCGAATATATTTTAAACGTGACACGAAAATAATGCATGTGTGGCTGAAGTATATCTATACACGTTAATATTTAAATATGTTTGATAATTTCTGTTTTTATTTTTAAAAATAATGATTTATAAAAAATATTTTCTCGATTACATAAAATTTCCTCCCAAAAAAAAATTACACGTCACAATACAATGAAAAATTTGGTATTTTATATTTAGAAAAAAGCAACGACAGCTGCAACCAAACCAGCAGCCGCGACATTAAACATTTCATCTTTCAAAGCGGAACCCGTATTCGGTACCGGTGTCGTACTAGGAGTCGTATTATTAGGATTCGTTCCAGGGGTCGTTCCCGTAGTTGATCCCGTGCCCGATACCGTTGGTGATGCTTTTGAAAATTAAGGTTTATGAGGGTTATATAATTTTTTGGTTCTTGTATTTATTACGGAAATTTGATTTTACCTGATGTACCAGTAACAGCAGTGTCAGAATTTATAGGAGTTGGATTGGCAGCAGGGTCAGAATTTGTAGGAGTTGGATTGGCAGCAGGGTCCGTAGTAAGAGGTGGTGTATCTGGTGGACCTTGAGAACGAATAGCAGGTAAACAAGAAATTATGAACAAAGCGATAAAGAATAAAGTGATGGATTTCATTTTCGCAAAATTTTTTCTTTTAATTTGATGAATAAGTTTAATTTTTTTTTTATGACCAGTTGATTGAGTGAAGAAAAGATGAAGAAATTTTCAACTCCTTTTATAAGGATTCGTAAGTTAACGAAAAATAAATAAAAATCATATCCACCATAGGAATATACAAATATAGCATGGTGAGAATTTTTGACGATTTCTTGTCATTATTTAATTTTACCAATTATACTTTCATAAAGAGCGAGCCGATAACAAAAATGATAAATCATTTTAACAATACAAATTCCGAATGGAAGTTTCTATAAAACTAATTGACTTGCTTTAACGAGCGAGATAATGAATCATTTTAACCATAAAAATTCCGATTATCGATGTAATACATGCGTTAATTTCTTAATTCCAGACTGCAAAGTATTGTACATGTATTTTCTTTGTTACTTTTTATAACTTATTGTGAAAAAGTTAATTTTGAAGCTATCTAGGTTGACACATGATCAGTATCATGATATCATCGATTTCCTTTTCCTTTGGGTGATTTATTTGTAATTGGGAAATATGACCAAATTCCTGAATAGATCTACTTCGAGGATGATTTATTATCACAATGAGAATTTTTAAAATGAGAATACCCGATTATGGATGCCAAGCTGCTGCTGCCAAGATGAACTCGAAAAATTTTCAATGTGTCAATGAACACTAATATGGGTTGTCACGTGATATGATCATCATTATATTGATCTCGATACTTTGTCAAAACAAAAAAAGCAACTTTCCTTCAACTCCTGGACCATTGGATGTCTTCTATTCCTGCAGTCATGAAATCTTGGAATGTCGAAGTTAACTATCACATATGCTTTCTTCGACATTCACAACATATGACTGAAATAACCTAGGAAATTTGAGAGCAAAGTATACCGTATAAACTTTGATTGGGAATTCATGAATTAGTCTTGGTGAATTATATTGTAGAGAAAACGGCAAAAAGGATACATTAGAAATTGCGGCGAAATTGGTTGTAAATTGCAGGAATGACTGCGCCATGAATATCGCAATGCTGCGTCAAGTTACATATCACTTTTGTAGTCGCGTTCTTATTATGCTTGGCTTTCTCAAAATATTTTTCGTCAGCGTTTAGAAAAAGTATATAACTGTAATAGAACACAAAAATAATAATCCAGAACTGATTTTTTTGTAAAACTTTAAATTGTTGAGTTAATTTTCGTATAAAAGATAACAAACTATTAAAGATTTTTTTTTTATTTTTAAACTTTAGAAAACATTCAACTTATCAAGAAATGTTGGAGTGGGTAAAAACTAGTAATCTTAAGATAATGTTGGATGGACTATTCGGTGATCCTTCTACAAAATTTTTTACTGCTGAAGGTTACATCTTTACGGTTGTTGCATCGCGTTCATTTATTTCATTTGCCAAAGACTTATTCCAGAGGTATAATTTAGAAATCAACTTTTGTCCTTTATACTTATTTTATGCGCGATTGCAACTTTAATGGTAGGAGTATTAATCCAAATTCTTGTATAAATACCATTACTGTGCAGAAAACCACATATCGAGATGATGCTTACTATTACTGATTTTGCATTAGGTGAAGCTGATTGCTGAAGAATTAAAATTGCATGAATTGAAATAAACACAATTTCAATAATTAATTTAATCACTCTTTTTTTTTTTATTTATATTTTAGTTTAACATCTCACAGATGAATTTCAGAATTCGTTCTTTCCAAAGTAGCTAACTTATGATTTATATAGTCATTTTTTTTATTCGACGAGTAAAAACCTTATCGTATATAATAATAACAAGATTTTTTCTTTTTAAGACATAGAAAATTATTTTAATAATTCACGATGGTCTATATCATGGCATGGCAACACATTTCAACTACCACAAATTCTGACGGTTCAATGATCCCGGCAGCCAAAAATCCAAGGTTTTAATATACCAATAACGATAGCATTAAATTAGCGTTGCAGCTAAATGTGTTGCATTAAGTGCTTTGTATTATGATCTTGTAATTAATATTCATATGCATTAATATAAAATTACATCGGAAATAGGTCATATAATTTTCAAATATGGATTAATACCATAAAAGGAAATTCAAAAAAAAAATTTTTAGATTCTCGTGACAAATTTTAAATTTTGAAAGGATCACCCGGTTTTTTAACATAACAAAAATTTTTTTAATATGAGTAATGCATTTATCATACCTTAGGTATGATAGTTTCATCATTCCTAAGAAACAATACATTTATTGTACCTAGCATTGTGGATATATTAATTTATTCTATATTACATAAATAAATAATCTCTTTTTTTTTTTTAAAAAAAAAAATGCTTATAATAATTGTACATGTGTTTAATTTTAAAACAGTATTTGAGTGGGAAGGCTACCTATTAATGAGGAAATGCATATAGAAGAGTTTTTTAAACATGTATTAGTTGAAAATAAAATAGGATTGAATGCATTGCATTGGAACTATTTATTAAGCAGTGCGAAAAATATGTAACATTTAAATTATTCAGTGATTCTAATCATGTTCCAGCTATGAGTACAATTAATTCATTTGAATTAATGAGATATGCGTAATGCTTAATTATCTTCCAGATTTTAAATTACCAGCAAAAAAAATTCTTGAGAACTACGCATATATTTAAATGAATTGATTAGAAGATAACATTTTCAAGCAAGAAAAATACGTGATATGGGATAGTTTCGAGTTATGAAAAAAAGTACAATTTTCATTAGATAAAATCGCGTGATAAAATATATTTTACTACAACCTCACCCCCCGTGAATTTGGGAAAACTGAGACGGACAGATCACGAGAATATAAAATATTTGTTGGCCGGCCTTATTTATAAACTTTTTATTACTTTTAAATGTCAAAGAATTCTGTTCAGACTACTAAATCATGTGATTATTTAATGACGAAATAACTTACCTAGCGTCGCCTAGAAAAGTGGTGGCCGGATTTTATTTGCCGGGTATTTATTATTAGGGTTAGTATTGGAGTTAGGGTTTAGGATTAGGATTTGGATTAGGATTAGTTTTAGGGGTTAGCAAATTTGTCACATCGCGTCACATCCTAACCGTTCTTCAATTTACTAAGTATTCTGGGAACAGAGGAGAAAAAATGCTAATTGTCACAATTATGTCACCCGTAATAAGTATATGTGACCCGGCAAATAAAATCCGGCTACCATTTTTCTAGTCAACGCTAGGGCTGTTATGACGAAATAATTAAAAAAATTTTCTCACATTTAAATTGTAATTAAAATTTAATATATCTAATATAACAAAGTAATGTAAACATATGAATAATAACTTACTGTGAAAAGGTCATAGTACAATGAAAATAAATAAATACTAACTTAAATATGAAAAGTTTATAGAATGCTAAAAATAGTAATTAGAAAATATTATACTTATAACTAGATAGCAGTTTAACACAACTGAATAGCATTTTTATAAGAGTTCTATGGTACACAAAAAAAGAAATCATGATTCGGGGAAAAAAAATATTGTAATAAAGTAGCGAATATCTATCCATTGCATCTATTCGTATATAATTCCAACATTAACAAAATACTACATAAGATTACGTAAATGACGCAAAGCCAATGAAAGATCACCAAATACCATTTTTAGTGACTACGAATTTCCTAAATGAGTCGATCCCAGCTTTATGAGTACTAGCCAGATATTGTTTCACGGCACATATGGGAAGATTGCTAGGAAAATCAGGTTCTGAGAAGTTTTTAATAAAATTGAGTTTTATTAACTTCAGTTTTTGATGCTATTAGATTAAAATGTAATAAGGTCTTAATTTTAGTCAAAAAATTCTCAGAACCTGATTTTCCTAACAATCTTCCCAAATGAACGTTTTAAATGCTGACTCGTGGTAAAGTCGGAAATAGATAGTTGGGTAAATGTGAGTTTGAAAATCGTGGATGTCTGGCAGTAGAAAATCATCTTTTTTCGAACAGAAGGATCTCGTAGCATTTTTGAAGCATTTAAATTTAAAAACCGCATGTTAGCTCGCCGCAAGGTAGTTGAGTTATGAGTCACATCTAGAAAACGTAATAGCTGCTGTAAAAACACATCCTCAAATCCACATCTCGAGCGATTATTAAAGTTTTAAAAGAGCATATCTAGCGGCATGACATAGTGGAAAATATTGAACTCGTTATTTTTCCGATATACAAAGCCGAGATCCATAACCTTGTAGTCAAAGCCTGTGTTGCCTTTTCGATCTTATCACCTTATCGGGGTACGAACATGGCTAGCAAGAGCATTGCGTTGAGTAAACTGTTGAGAGGGCATATGTGTTCGTTAAAATAAACTTGTGCACCCTTAAAGAAATCCTGGAGCCGATCTTGGTTAAATTGATTCAATTCGGCCAAGACATCTCTATCGTATCGGCGAAGGCATTAATGATGTACTTTGTCAGGGTTTACTTGCTCACGGTGGGACATTATTTGTAACATTCTTCACCTTTTGCCTTATCGATTTTCTTGTCAGGATAGGGCTCATTATCTTTTCGAAAGTGGTAGGAGATAGAGGGTGACAAAACAACCCAGTCAAACATACCATTTTTGACATATTCTCTCTCGAATATTGCGTGCGCCGTTCCTGTCAAGACCGCACAGCAACCTTTTCCGATCCATATACTGAGTTGCATCAGAGTATTAAGAAGTGGGTGGAGTTTGGTATCCAATATTTAGATTCAAAGAGTACGTCATGTTCGTCAATTAACAATAGAGTATTTTTCCTCATGTTGGAGCAGATGGTTAATGATAAAGCTAGCTTCATTTATTAACATCTCATCGTCATCAATGAAATGCTCACATTAAAGTTATTAACATTTAGAATGTCCTTATTAACTGCAAGAAATCGAGTACAAATTTCTACTAATACTTCGTAAGCGGTTTCACGAACCAAATTGTTCGCATCCGAAATATAAAGTAAAAGCCACCCTTCGGAATATGGTTTGACAGCAAGAAAGAATCAAGATATGATTTCCGACACTCATCGGGCCTGATAAGACACTTAATTGAACTTTAACTATTTCTTGCGAGTTATGTACTGATATTATTAAATATGATAGGAAATGAAATAGCAGACATCAAAAAAGTTAGTTCACCTTACCTGCTTTAAAAGAAGCGATTTTCATATATTTCTTCATCTCTACCGTCAAAGTATTCCAAACGTTTCGTCATATCAATATCTAGAAGAAAGGCTTTTGTTGTGCCACGTTTTACTTTGTTGGAGAAAAGTTCACTTAATTTCGATTTCGTGTCTTCCCAGTTGCTATCACTACAAAAAGCAAAGAAGATAAGAAAGATAAGCTCTGACATTTTATACTCATAGACTCATAATACAAACTTTCTTTTCGGATTTTAAAAAGACTTACTTGATTTATGGTAATTTACATTAAAGTGAACATTTGCTCTAAAACCATTTCTAATATAACATAAAATAAAATTAATTAAACAATAAAATATACTAATAATATATCTTGGAAGCGATGTATTGCGCTATACTTTTTATGGCACACGAAATCCGAGACAAGTTACACTGATTATATAATGGCGCATTTTTTATTAAAAATAAAAAAATGCTACACTATAACAGACATGATTATCGAGAAGGAAAATGTATGACAATAACGACTATTTTTATATAATAACAACATAAAGAGCTATAAAAAATTATTCAACATACTAAAATAGGTTCACACGATTATTGTCCGGGTCCACGCGTTTCTTTCTCTATCCCACACGTGATCGTCGCCAATGATTTCATCATCCTTTTATTCCCGAAAATTCCAATTTCCTAGTAATATATAATTCAATTAACATATTTGGAAAATGATAGCATGCATTTGTATGAGGCGAAAACATTTTCCCGTTTTTTTTATTATGCATCACACATTGAAAGTTTGCGGGCTATCCTTTTTATCCTAAGAAACGTACAAGTTTTTGAGCACAACTTACCTCCATCGTAACCTATACAAATATACAAAATATGACCAAGTTAAATGTTTTTTACTTTTTCGTAGAAAAAATTTCTCATAATGAACAGCGCCCACCTTGAATAAACTGTCACGGCTTTCAGCGAGAGACTATCTTCTAAAAAACTTTGCTCCTGCCGTAACTGATATATGGATTTTTCTGTTGTTAAGCTCTTTATTCTTTTTCTTTAATGTATTGGTTTTTCTCTCGTCATTCCGTTGGAATATGGATGAATATCCTCCCATTACGAAAAAATTTTTCCCCTTGATATTTACTCCTAAGCGTAACTGATATTCCGATCTATTGCATCTATTACTTTCGACGAGACTATGTTACTTAGGTTCCATAACTAATTCCTTTTTCTGCTTTTTTTTCTAGAATTTATCTGGAGACGAACTTTTATTATTTCAAGCTTCTTCCTTTTTTTTTCTCACGATAAATAACAACTCATATTGACAAGACTAAAAAAAAAAATTAAAAAAATGATAGTGTTTATTCTTAATTTTATTAGACAACAACGAAGAAGTTGACAAATGTGGAAGTGGCAATACGGTATGCAATCATTTGATTTTCGTTATTTTATAATCTTTTTTTTTTTCTTAATTTTCTTTTTGGATCGTGATGAGTGAGACCAACTTTAATTGTCAAGCATCTGCAATTGAAAGGGCCGGTACAACTGCTCGTGAATGTAAGAATCTGCGATTTCTGAAATAGGAATTGCTATGCATCTTCCCTTATGTTTATAAAACTGCTTCACGAGTGGGTGCTCACGCAACCCAAGTCCTGTTGGATATCCCCCATCCTTGTAGCGCAGTCGATAGGTATTGGATACCGGAACGAAGTCGATATTTGTAAGTTATCTATTTATTTCTTTCGAATTTTTTAGTCTTGTCATATGAATTGTATAATTAAATTATGTTTATATAACAAATAAAATAATGTTTGTAATGTAATACTACGAAAGATTTAAATCTGTGTTGGCAAATTTCAATGTCATTTCCCTTTTTTGAAGTGACCTAGGTCACTTTGTATATGATCACGTGATAGATTTCATAGTAAAATCATCACATGATTAGGTCATTTTAAGGTCATTTGCCAACACTGATTTAAATAGACTGGGTTTCAACTTTTTTCTAATAAAATATAGTATAGAATTAAATAACAGAATAATAGTTTTATTAATCAAAAATAAAAATACCGATTTTTAATTAAATTAATTTTCGTGTTTACGGTATATAATAATACTAATCCACACAAATTACGAGTATTCGTAAACGGTCTGTATTTCAATTTTCATCCAAATAGAGGATGACTGAGTGCGTCTTAAAGATTCCTGTAAGCTGCCTGGTTAGTATATTCTAAAATTCTTTTATCAACTTTCTTAGTAAACTAATATTGTTGAAACTAAAAATCAAAACGTTCAATTGGGGTTAAAAAACATTCAAACAAGGGAAGTATTTTGTTGATAAAATTAAAAAAACTGTTATTAATGAACAACGTATAACTCATCCGAAATTTTATCCTTTTTTTTTATTAAATGTGTTTTCGTCTATTTTTTTTATAATTCTTTCTAACGGGATTCCATTCCATAAATTTATTTCTTTAATTATTACCTAACCTTATTTCTCATCATATATAATAGGAACCATTCGGGTGGACGGCTAAGCCCCATTATCGTTTAGTGAAATCTGCGATGCTATCCCCAATAATTTGTTATTTTTTTTTTTATAAATGAAATATTTTTTTTTTTTTTTTGGAATTTACGGTTTTGTTTATGATTCTAAAGATTTTAAATTTAACAAATAAAAAAATCAATAATTGAAATTGCTGTGCCATTTTAATTTATCGACAAATTTAATTGCAATTCATATATTCACAATTAAGAGGATGGGAAATCAACATGTTAAAATTTCGAACAGAAAATAATTAAAAAATTTTCTCGGAATACCATTCCTCATATGATCCGTAATTAATTTTACTGGCAACGCTCCCATATAAAAGACAGAAATTTTATCAAATATTTTTTCTAATTAGGACTATTGAATAGATACATATGATTCTATGTATAAGTACTTAATATTTAAGAAATTAAAAATTTGATAAACAAAGTTGACAAGAACAATCAAAAGATGTTCCCATGCGAAATTTTTAGTGAATTACATAACTCATGTGACTCATTTTAATTATTTGTTAATTGATAAAAATTTTTTTACGATTTATGATCGAATTTTTTTGGAACATTAAAATAATAGAGATATTAAGCGATTGGAAAATGTAAAATTCCAACACTTCATCGAATGTGGTTTCATTTGTACTTTGAATTAGTAGAATTTTTAGCAAAATAGAGAATAAATTTTGTCACTTTATTATATGGATTATATGGAATTTATGCAAAAAAGTTTCATTATTTCTCGCAGAAGATAGTCTACAATAGAGGTTTAATTAGAATTATCGGATTTTTAGACCTTTATTAATCAAGTTTTAGTCCATTGATTGAATCCATTGGTTTAAACAAATATATCAACATTTTGTTCAAGGGTCCGGGCAATTAACTATATAAGAAAATAGCTTAACGGATGAAATAATTGAATTTTATTGGATGAGATTGGATAAGAAGCAGTCTCAGAGCGTGACTATTATATTTAAAAAACACATGATATTATAAGATCCCTTGCACGTTAAAATAATAAAGCCCAAATCTTTATTTAGATATGTGGTAAAATGGATGTAGCGAGCGAAATAATGCAATCAAATAGGAATGGAGTACGCGAATCCTAGGCCATTTATTCGAGACCTAACATCAAGTTATTTGCTTTCACATGCTTCTTATAAATCTCTATACTATTTCTTTCTTTCCTATTAATATCGATAACTAAACACCCACATTTTTTACTACACTAAATTTCCGAAATAAATTACACTACCCATAACTACTCATACCTACAAAATTTTTGTTTATCTATATCTATACACTCACACAGGCTGTGCGAATTAATATTCCCGCAAGAGAACTTCATCAATTTCGAAACTAAGGCAAAAATTACAGAGATTAAATAAGTTATGCCCATAATTTCGATAAAAATAAGTAATACTCCCTGAGTATACTCTTACCACGTTTACTTCAATAATGAACAAAAAGGTGTCAAATGGTATATAAACAATGTATAAACTGGAGAATTTATTGATTGTGTCTGCTTAAAATTTAGAAATGGTTCCTTAAAGATTTTATTATATTATACCTTTTTTTTTGTCATAATTTATAAAAGCAGCGAAAGGAGAAGGTGAAACAAAAATAAATAGTTAAGAATAGAAATTGAATAAATTGTAAGACAAAAAAAATAATTTTCCTTGACAATTAGTCGATCGTCAAACACCTCTACCTATATACTGTAAATAAATGCAAGCAAAATAAAAAAGCCCGCGTGATAAAAATGTGAACCAGTTCAATGAAACCTTAATGTTAATTAGGCATAATTTGAATATATAAATTTTTATCGTTTCATTTTGTGTTTTCCCGAAGATATATTAAAAATCCAACACATGAATAATAAACAGCTTGCATCAAAGTTCGGATTAAAATACGTTATAATATTTCGAATTTTAATAATATTGAAATTTAATAAGGAAAACTATTTCAATGCAAATTAATTTAATAAATTTTATTGACATTTTTAAAATTTTAGAAAAAAAATTATCAAACATCTTCAGAATACTGGATAGTGTTTAATTATTCTTCTATTTCTTCATCAGATTCTTAAATCGCTCAACTCAATTATACTTTTTAAATGAAAAGAGAACGAAACTTATCATTATTACTGATTTATTAAAATCAATTTGTTTGAGTTTATTATTATCAATAATTGATTTGAGTTTGAGTCATGTCCGAAATGCGCTAGGCATGGATTCGATAATCGAAAATCGATTAATTGAAAAAAAAATAAATTCTGATCTATTTTTAATGGCGCAGTCATTTCGGCTATGATAAAAATCAGAAATCCTAAGACGTATTTCAACCTTATAATTTCACTTCATTTGTGATATATTCATTATAATGGCGGAAATGATCAAAAAAAAAAATTAATCGAAAAAAATAACCTTTCCTAATGGTTCAACTCGAAAGAAAAAACATTGATAAATCAATAAAAAAATCTGATCAAACCTGAAATAAAATTAAAAAATAAACACATTGGAAGATTGCTAGGGAAAATCAGGTTCTGGGAATTTTATAACAAAATTTTGATTTTTATTGCATTTTAGTTTTTGATGATATTAGATTATAATGTAATCAGGTCTTATTTTTAGTCAAAAAAGTTCCCAGAGCCTGATTTTCCTAGCAAACTTCC